TACTTTCACGATCATCAAAGCTGCAAATCTTGCCCAGTTCATTTAAAGTCGAAGTGGTTTAGATGTTTCCATGATGACCCTCATTTCGTTTTATAATTAATACAGAGTGCTTAATACTGCTATGGTTTCAAAGTAGAAACAAGTATTTGTATGATTTCGTAAAAAACTCAAAAGTCTCAAAACTCTTTTACATCTATGAATCAATCTTCTATTCCCCCTTCCGAATTCTTCTCACTTTGATCTTCCTCCTCCCCTCTGTGAGGCTTGAAGTCAACTAAAGGGCTAATGATAACTATCAAAACGCCTACCATTTGTTATAAATAAATAAATAAATATTTCAGTAATGGCATAGAAACTGGACAAGAAAAGGAAGACGGAATGTCTGAAGGATCCATTTAACCAAAATATGAAATTATAGTGGTGTTCAAGTCACATTGTTCAGTAGTTCCAAAGCTCTAGTTCCAGCTCTGCGATATTCAGAGCCTGGTGAATAGTTGATTTTGCTGCATGAATAATTGAACTCTTTGAATTCAATTACCGAAACATGCACTACAAATAAGCGGGTATCCTAGAGTTTATTCAGGATTAACTTTAACTTTGGGTTTGTTTCAATTTTCATTTAATTTATGCATTTTTGGCCATCCATATCCCCTCAAAAAAAGAATTTCAGTGGTTACTAATTACAGTTGTACAATGCGTATTTTTCTAATAACGAGATTTAAATTGTTCAATCGATTTGACGATTTCAATAGTTAAAGTGGCTCCTTCATTCCTATCTGTTGTAAAAATACGCCCCCAAGAGATTTGACATACATTTTTTTCCATATTTCCACCACTTCACGTCTCGCTACGCCCCGTAACTCATGTGATGTCAACGTATATAATAATACTAGGCGAATACTCCAGGCAATTGATTGCCCACGTAAGTGGGCAATAACTCCATGAACCGAGGTGCTATATTTTCGGTATCTCAATGTACGGGGTGTTTGAGCACTACGCCCGAAGGTGCCAGGAATTTTATGGCTCTAATCGACCCCCAGGACGGTATCTTTTCTCCACTCAATCACTGCTTTCTCGACTCTTCTCTCTCGCCCTCTCTTCATTGCCCAAATAAAGATAAGTCCACGACGTCATGGCGCGAGGGCGCGCGGAACGGGCTAGTCGGATGGCAACTGCTACGACGCAACCCGCATCCCATAAAAGAGCATACGGTTGTCGATGTCTTTTTTGTGTGATTTAGTCATAAAAGATCTAGCGTAGTCTTATCGCGTAGGTGGAAAACTGTTTTGATTGCTCCAAGGAGATAAAATCCGGTCATCTGAGCCATTAGGAGGCAGAAATATTCCGAATATAAAAGGACTCAATAAATACTTGAAAAGCAACTCTCGAGAATCGTCTTGAAAAAGTAAACAAACGAAGATCCATAACCTTGAACTAAGTTTGTGCCACAGTTAAAAATTCCACTTCCAGAACCATTTTACCATGAAAAAAAAGTAAAAATATACCTTCGTCTTTTAAAGCATTTAAGTACTGCGAATAATCGACAGCTTCAATGAGAGTTGATTTCCTTGCACGCTGAACATAGCATGATGAACCGTATTCTCATATTCTGAATTGAAATTTCACAATGTGACCTAATATGTCAATGTTCAGAGTAAATTGTTGCATCATTCATAATCGTAAAAGTCCTCCTTATACATTAAAATGCAGATGAAATAATCAGCTGGAGTTAGTAGTAATGCACGTACTGTATAAAAAAATCCTCATTTCACGACACCTTTTAATTTAGTCTCCTCACTAAATGTTCTCTATATGCTTTTCTTGATCTTCAAGTCAATTTAAATCTGATTCTTTTAGATTAGATAGAGTAAGAAATTAGAAGATAGGAATGGGTAAATTGAATGAGTGAACCACAATTAAGCAATTTGAAGTGGAATTTTATGAAATGCAAATTATTTGAGATGATAGTCAATGCAAGGGAATCAGACCAGCGGTTGTTGATAAATGTACTCACACGTAACAAGCATGCATCATGAAGAAATCGACTTACAACTTCGACAAAACAGGTAACCTTTATAAAGAACACAGTAAATCCCCAAAGTTAAATTTTGCAACAGTACTCTTTTCCGTTGTGTTGAGCCGTGCCTCAGTTAACGTTTAGTAAATAGGTCCCGTCAAAAAGAAATTTCGCAAAAGAATATCTGCGAATTGCCTCTTTAAAAGGTCATGCTTTGAATTAATTAAATTAAAATCAGTTGACTCAATTTCTATGTGTCGATGGGAGGTCGTCAAGACGAGATTCGTCTCTGCGGTGTTCGGAATGTCCGGTGGGGGGTGGGGTTGGGGGAGGGGGTGAGGGGGATGTTGTAAGCAAATCCTACAGGTTGTCTCGACGCTATCCATCATTCTCATCAGGATGATATGATACCTCGGCAATTATTTAGAACAAAACTGCTGTAATTCCGCCAGTTTTGTGACCGCTGGGCCAATTGTAGGCCATTTTTTTAATAGTAGGCCGTCTTGGCTCAACAGCATACTGCTCCAACCATGTCTCTCCCCTGAGTCAACTCCGGTCTGATGGCGGTTTTATCCATGTGACAGAAACTGAACTGGCTGGCAATACTACAGCAAAGAAGAGTTATATGTTGAAAAGTGATCAACTGATTAATTACAAAATTTATTTTAAAGGGGGTGGGGGCATTAGAAGAACCCTTGGTTGAAATAACTTTATGAGAGAGAACTTTTAAAGGCGGAAGATTCATCAAATGACTGCCGGTTGAGTGATGTATTGCCTTGCTCCATAAACGTCAAATGTGAGACATGAGGTAGCCAGTATAGACGTGAAATATTTTCACAACTACCTATTACTCGAAAGTCTAACAAGCTTAAGTGAAGGGCCACTTGTCAAAAGTTTAAGTTTTTTGAAGACGAAAGTATGAGAAGAGAACTTTGAGTACTGCCATTAAACAATATTAGCTCAAAATGGTAAATTTGATCCGAATTAAGCCAGACCGGTCAAGAAAATCGATCTGATCCCAACACAACATTGTCCTTACCCAACTCGGATGCATGAAGCCGGCACACAAGAGTGACAATAGTAACCACTGATTGTCATAAAGGAAACTAAGATGTTCAACATTTTTTTGCTCTTCGAAGATTTTGAGTCATATTGGTGCAAGGAAAATAAGCTTGCACTTATTCAATGCAGTTAAATAACCACTGTGCCCGATACTAACCGTCTTAGTGTTAACCCACACTGTTTAAGACGAATAAGAGCATATGATTTAGTTCAAACTAACTTTTGAGGTTTTTCCCAGACCTCAACGCTTTTTAACCATTTTCTAATGCCAACGAGGAAGCCAATCAATGAGGTCTGGCAGAAAAATCTCAGCTAGGTTCGGAACTTAGGGATCAGAAAAGTGTGACCATCCAGATGAAATTAAGAAGCAAATCGAAATACGATTCCTTTGCTGTCTTGATCCCTTACTTAACTTCCATTCGAATATCTCATCTTCCCCTCCCCCAATTGCAAGACGAAGATTAAAAATTTAGCAATTTTTCCATAGTGAACTTTTGAGGGTTGAAACTAGCGATAATATCCTTTTAAAAATATTGCCAAATGCACTTTGCTTCAGAGCACTACCACTCAGAAGCCCTACCAACTAGTTGAAATAGTGAAGAACATAATCCAATTTAAACATATCAACGAGCAGATCAGAAATCATTAAGCACTTTTCTCATAATTTCAAAGATTCTTTTGACTGAAGGTATCTTTCATGAGCCATTGATCTTTGTTTACTTCTTTATTTGTTCAAAATGAGCGCTAATTGAGCATTTTTATATATACGGAACAGTTATTGAATCGGCTATTTCCATCAACATCTACGCCTGTTCTATTCCCCTCTAGAGAGCTGGATGGCCTTTGTCAATCAACTATACCCGATCATGAGAGTTGAGAGTTTTAATTAATATTCCATATTAGTAATTCATTTATCGCATTTAAAGTGCTCGACAGCTGCTTCCAAATTATTTCTCAAATTAATTTCACTTTGGTAAGTATGGCATTTTATTTTGGAATGAATTTTTTGTTGAGATGACTCGTGAAATAATCATTTTAGGGTGTTAAGGGGATATTAAGGTGTTTTGGTGATGTGTCATCGTATGCTCAACTCCTTTGACCCTCAACCCACTCGAGAGTCACCTCATATAAAGCAAAGCATGCCGCTATTAATTTCCAACTGGTATTCTCACAAAAAATCCCAGACACCTCCTTTCCCATGCACACGCATCTCAAACACACCAGTCATTTATAATTACAAAGTTGTTTATTTGTACATGAGTGCATTATTTTTTATTATTTTTATAAAGCGAGTTTCGGGACTCCCACGAAATATGCCAATTAAACTCTCCGGCCCATGTTTGATAAGAACTTTGCAACTAATTAGCAGATTATTTACGAAAACAGCTCGTTGCAGTACCAGTACTCACTCGGGTCTCGTTTTCGTCAAACCCAATCGATGAAATCAAGGTCCTTGAGCTATCAACGGGAATATCACACCTTAGATGTTCGCAATGTATTCTGCATGACGTCAAAAGCTTCAATACGCTTTGCATACCGGTACGGGGGTTGTGTAATGATAAGTTGCTATCTATTAATCAATAATGAATATCTTAAAGGACGCAGTTTGAGGCTTAAATAATATCTCCTCCGCTCGCTAAGCACTGTCTCTTTAACGTATTGTAATAACATTATTACTAATTTACAATTATTGATTTAGATTTACGATCCGAATGATAGAAAAAGTCATCTTCCAAAGCCGAGAGACTAAACTTGTGAAAAGTATAAAATTTAGTCAATATATACATCACGCTAATAATAGAAAATGAAAATTAGCCTATTTTGGTGAACGTGAATGCGTCCCGACATTAAAAAAACGCTAACACTTTTCTCGTGTTTATGTATTGGTAAAAGTACATTGGGTTGAAATGGTACAGTTTCTATGAGACAAGTCTCCTACCGTACTGAACAAAACACTGAAATCACTCGAAAGGGAGATATAAATTGGTCAACCTGTGTTGGAATCCCAATTGCGCTACAACGTTTATTAGTTTGGCGTGTATCACAAAACGCCGGTTGTGAGGTACTAGAAGTGACGTCAGCTCGCATTCGTCTGCCATTGGTCCCTTCACAGCGCTGTTATTGGCTGTAGCAAGGTCAGACAGCTATACACGCTTTTACGTTTAAACGTACGCACTCTCAAATAATAAACAAGCCTCGCAAACACCACTTATACGGTACAAGCAATAAGAGACATACGCACACGCACACACACACTCAAACACACCCCGAATTTCACACATTTATATATCCCTCCCAAGGAGACTTTTCTTTCAATCATAGTGCGTACACCTGAACTTGTTATTTCCATTCCCACAATGGATGTCCCAAAATTTGACCCCTCTCAAGCGGATTACCCTCTGAGGATCAATCCTTCGACGTTGGACCAACTTGGTAGGATTGCACAATACTTGCAACCCTTTCTTCCTCCCAACCCGCCGTCTCAACGATCAGACAACGGTGATTCCAGCGATTTACAGGCTGATGATAAGCGAAAAAAGGAGTCCCTCAAAAGTAAGCACTTGATCCACTACTCATATTTTTTGCCAATAACTGAACTATTTCATTGCGTGGAGGTAACCGTTGCTTAATGATTTACGTTCCTTTTCATTACTAACGCCGCATTTGGATGAATTTTTCATTAGAATCATTTCAACGCACGGGGAAGTCCTTGTAAACCATAAAGTTTACTCATCTATTCCCTATGCGTCTAGAATTTTAATCGCAATTAAGATATGATAAATTGGTCTCGTTTTGCTACCATTTATAATCACTTAATCGACAATGCTCTCTTAAAGGCCACATTTTATTAATGAAGTTCATTTTTGTAGATTATTTGGGTGAACTTTTAGGGAGTTGTCTCTCTATATTATGTTTTTTACGTAAATTAAACTCACCTCTTACTTGTCATGGGTCACTGACTCAAGCTGCAAATGTTTATCGTTGTAGCAACAGGTGACTTTCATAATTGCTGGAATAGTGACTTCGGGTTGGTCCTTAATTAACTTTAAAATTTCTCCGGCTCGATTCGCTTGAAGTTCGTATCAGCTTAAGGTTTAGGTAAGAATAGTTCATTGAGTGTTGTTGGAACGACGGAAAGTTCATTTCAAACTACTTTGGTTGATAGCTCTATGGAATATTTGCTTAAGGCGCTAGGTGTGTTCTTTGTGATAAATACGCAAAGTAAACATAAAACACTTAAGAGTTCACGTTAAGTCATAGTCAAACAAACGTCTGGAGGAGGAATGAGGGTACCTCAGTGCCTCACGACAATATTTCTGCTTCGAGCGTGGGTTTTTCTCATGGTTTATTAGAAGCCGAAGGAAACACCGAAGTCTGAAGTTGGGGTTGGAAGGAGGTCAGAGTCCTGTGCCTGGATGGAGGACACATTCAGTCCCATACAACAGAGCCAGTAGGTAGTCTGTAAATCACATGGACAAATACACATCCAGCATTCTTCCATCCAACGATTCTCTCCCTCTTCCACTACCCATCTCCCTCCCTCCCCCCACCCCCTCTTATCTCTGTCCGAATTGTGTACAGAGAATGGCACGCATACATACACAAACACTGCCGCACAGAATATATAAACGATGAGTCATTTTTCTCGCGATGTAACGCAGCCGCACATAGCCATTATACTTAGTAGGATGAATCATAATTTTGTAAACACACTGTGGAGTTGGGCGTTTGTGTCTAGTCGCTAGCTTATTTGTCAGTGGACGGGGTGGGTACAATCCCACCGGATCTCAAATCTAGGGTTTATCGATTCCCAACTTTACAGCTGTTGTAGATTCATGGGAAAGTGAGTCAACTGTCATAAAAATAGCAGCCAAGGTAAAAAAGATGCTCAGCTAGACCAGATGTGTGTAGTGAGGCCGTCAAACGTCAATCAATATACTGTCAACTGCGTGTATGGGAAACCATTGAACACACTTCTTGCTTTTTTTGTTGTCTGAAAGCCTAGGCATAAATTAATTAATTTGTCAACTATTCGAGCCTCAAAATGGGTTCTCTTACTTTTGAAAGCATTGTGGGAAAACCCAAACTTATTTGCCCAAAATGTACATTTAAGGATTTCCAGAGTGGAAATCAATTTGAATTCTAGATTACTTCAGGCCTCATTTTGTCGTGCATCAAAAAGTGACACACTGACTCGTATTGACGGTTTCAAGATTTATGTCCCAAAGCAGAGAACATTTTATGATTAATATTTAATTTTACACCTATTATTCAAGTGTCCTGAATGAGGTTCTCAAACGTCTCCGATTTTCTTAGGGTTTAATTTTGCCACCTTTTTTGAAATTACTTTTCTAATTTTATTACTATTTTCGTTAATGTTAGCTATTCTCTTCTTAAGACGCAATGTTGTTTTTTCAAAATGCTAAAAATCACGAGCGTTGTCAATCATTTATTATTCGATGGATTTAAAGACGTTACTATCAATAATAATATCGGTGGTGGTGGTGGTAATAATGATGTTTATCAAATTGATATGCGCGGATATGGGTTAAAACACGGATTTGTATTCTTGAAAGCCAATGCTAATCGCCGAGAAGAAATGACTTGGTTTTATACTGTGAGCCGACACTCAAATTCTGTAGAAAAGTACACGAAACAACAAGAAGTAGTGTAGGAGAGAGAGACAGCACACCCTGATAGCACATGATACCCTTCTTATGTCTAATCATGCTCTCTATCTCTCTCTCTCTCTCGTATTTCCACGCCATGTTGTTTACGTAGAAATGTGATTCCAAGAAGTCAACATATCCCAGTCACAGGGGATTGTAAGCTAGATTTATCTCAAGAGATGTGCTAAAATTAGTAAGAAAGTGGATCGCATCGCTCATTTCAGGTAGAATAGAAGCATCAAGAAGGTTCCTCAATGGTGGCTGGTCATTTTACGCATTTAAGTTTTGTTCAACATCTCTGGCTCCCTAAGTCCCTGGTGCATCAATCAACTGAAGGTCGAAACACAGGCGAGCTAACTTCGAGGTTCATGGCTTGCAATACCCTCTGCAAATGGAAAGTAGTATTCTGTTTAAAAATTCTGGAATGTAAGAATGTCTTAAACTGAAGTCCCGACTATTGTTTTTTTCTCCCAAAGACGCTATTCCTCGGTGTTATTGCACAACTTTTAAATAGACTGAAGCTTAATTAAAATGGCAATGGGTGAAAATTTTATGCAAGTTGGTTTTAGAAACCAGGACTTTTTTTACTTTATCTTCATTGGCTGGATATCAGAAGGGAAAAAGTGATTCCATCTTCATGATTGCTTTGTCGTTAGTTCAATTTCCTAGTCAATTGCATAAACCAAAACAAGAAAATTTCCTGTGCTTATTCATGGTATTGACATTTTTTGCCTCCAAACCTCGGTGATTGGCGAATATAAACAACTGGAATTTCTATGTCTTGGTCTGTGATGGTCTCGTTTGTCAACAATAGACTTAGGCCAAAAAATGTTTAGTTGTTTTTTCTATTCTTTGAGAAGCGAATTGACTTTGATTTTCTAACTAGGTCATAAAAGAACTATCTTCTTTATTTCGAAACAACTTACTAATTCGAATAAATTCTAATCTTATTAATATATATTTATATCAAATGGCAGGCGTTTTGATAGTTATCATTAGCCCTGGAGCTGACTTCGGGGCTTCATAGAGAGGAGGAGGAGGAACATTAAAGTGACAAAAAGTCGAGATGCGAGACAGAATAATGATTCACAGAGGTAAAAGAGACAGACAGACAAACAGACACAAATTCATAAAAAAGGCAAGATGAGTACTGTGAAAGGGGTCGAATATGACAAATAGTCGGACCGTAGTAGTTTGAAGTCAGAAGTCAACTGCCGGTTTGATCGACTTTTTGCCGTATAAGTATACGTTGCCCAGGGTGCACCACGTGGAGGTAAGTCTATTGCGCACCCCATAAATTATAATCTAGTGGTTATCTAATTGTGCCTATGACTGCCTTGCATAAGAAAGTACTCATTCTGAAATGGACCTTTCCAGGTCTCTTGAAATCTGTTAAGCACGCGATCTCGCATTCTATTTAATGATTTGGTAAGTAGTAGTTTTCGCTCTCATGGCTCTGAAACTATTTTTCAGAAAAACCGAGTACTACTGGAAACGAAAACCCAATTGAAAATCTTCTTCCATGTCTATCCATCAATTTCAATTGTTCAGAAATATAATATTGAAATAATTTTATAGTGCACCTTCGTTCGGATCGGGTCTTCGATTCAAGACTAATTAAAGCCTTCAGTCAATCTCGAAAAACATTTTGTCCCTTTTGAGGAACATGGAAATCATTACTTGCGTACTATCTTTGACGGCTATTTCTTTGTCTTTACACTTCCCAAACCCACTGACTTTGATACTGGGGGGGGGGGAGGAAGGAGGGTACCTTAGAATCATTGTTTTGAGAAAGTCACACTCCACTGAGCTAATTTATCATAATCAACCGGCTTAGCTGGTTTGCGCCTATGGATATTGACCTTATGCCCTATGATCAACGGGCGATCACATTGACCCCTACGTCGCTTGGGTACGTTAATTCGTTCAAAGGAAAAGATCTGCAAATTGTAAATGAAATATGCGCTCAATTCGGAAAAAATCCTATTCAACTTGAGCTGCAGAAAGCGAAAGCTTTCATAACTAACTTTACCAAAGGTAGTGAAGACATTAAAATAGTGCATACAATCCGTCGTTTTGATTTTGTTCTAGGAGAATGCAGCTCTTTCCTGCTCACTGAAATTAATCGACTTTGCGACATGGTGGTACAAAAGGACCTTCTCACTTCACGACCTTCTCTTCGCCAAACCTCGCCAGCCAACTCCCCTCCCCAAATGCAATGTGTATCTAATCATCTCCGAAATCACGTCATTTCCTCTCCCGAACCAAATGGCACAGATGGCCAACTTTGCTTTTGGCCAAATTGTCCTCATATCGCATCTTCTGCTGCAGATCTCCATTCGTAAGTCTTAGTGGTTGAATTCGATCTTTATCTGATTTTAAATTATAACAGGATGGACAATTTAGAGTTAGGTTACTTTAAAAATGACTGTTGCTGGACTCTACTTTACGCGGATTGTACTATTTTCAGAATTTCTCTTTCTTACCTATTTAACAAGACAACCTATGGTGTCTCAGCTCTGTAGCCTTTACTCCTTGCCCTACTTTAAATGACGGCCTCAATTTGCCTGTCCCACTACACCACCAGTTCGCAATAGATAACGTTAATGCTGACTAATCATTTAACTATAGGTTCCTTGTCTAGACAAAGGGCAAACACACCTCTATGTTAGATCGTATAGTGTCTTCTTCTTATGTAAGTCAGAACGAGTCAGTGATCCAGGGCCTACTCAATTGACCTAACTTGATGTCATTACAGTTAAAGGTAAACATTAATTTACTTTCTTAATTCTCGAATCGAGCTCCCTATAGTACAAGAGGTGAAGTTTTCTGGAAAAATTTCCCTATTTTCAAATAATTTCACTTTGGTCCTGGTTGTTTGAGAGCGTTCATCAATGTTATATAGAACTGCATATTTTGGCAATCTTAGAGTAATGCATAGCTAAATCTGAGTCGCAATGAAGATTGGAAGCTTCTATTGAAAGTGTACTGTTTTAGTGCGATTATTTGGCAGTTTCGCAGTGAGGTTTTATAAACAATCCACCATCACACACCACTTACATAATCGGTAAGCGAATGGCAGTGCAATAAGTAAACAAACAAATAAGCAAGAGTAAACAGATCGTCTTGGTGCATAGACATGTGATTTCGAAATTGTCCTATTTCGAGAAGCGTAGTGCACGTATTCCTTTTTCGAGTTTGTTTTAACCTATTAAATTATCTGGTGGGCAAAAATGAGATTTCCGCAGCTGACATATCTTCGTCCGTTTGTGGTTTTTCTTCTTACCTGTTTCATAAAAACTAAGAATCTTAAGTTGTTCCGAATTCAGAAATTCAAATACCTTAATATGTAATTTACCGTTATTAATGAATTTTTTAGTAAATTTAATTTCTAACCTTGAAACTGACTTTTCTGCCGTCTCTGTTGTAAATTTTTTTAAACTTTTTTCGTTGGCAAGTATTCAGTGTCAGGAGGGTTCCTTCTTAGATTCTTTCTAATTGGAGAGCAACATGTCGAAATTAGTCTCCACAAGTACTCAAACTGTTACATTAGAGAGGCTTATATTTATTTGCTATTACTTAACAATAAACCGAGGTTTTTTTTGTGAATACACATTGATTAAATTATCAATCAATCAATCGCAAATATCCGAAAGTTAATGAAAAGGACTTCTTCATGATTAAGGTTTTTAAGACAATTATGGTCTTTTCTATCCTTCAACTTGGGAACGGGTGGGGATGGAGGAGCGTGGGGAGGAAGTATCAAGATGAGATGGCAATAAAAGAAAAAAATTTAATGAAAAGTTATGCACAGACAGGATTGTACCTCAAGCTAATTTCATCCCAAGGATGGTTTCTTTCTTCTGTGTTGACTTGATCTTTGTTAAGTTCACTTGACGTACATTTGTCATCCTAAAAAGTAGTACTGGCTTAAACGGTATAACTGGTGTTACTAATAGGGCAAGATCAGAAATTAGGGCAACAAATATTAGGTGTAGACGAGACAAAGAGAGGAGAAATGTAGAATTGGGGAAGGGTGGAATAAGACGCTGGAGGGTGAGAAAGATACAAAAGGGGAAAAACGAAAGCGCTTGTTTTGGGCATTGGGGCAGGCGGTGTACCGTAGGCTAAATGGTCTCCGTTATTGTTTACATCGCTTGCGCGCTACAGCATTTTTTGTCCACCTCCTAACTCTCTCTCTCTCTCCCTCAAGGTCGTTTTACAACGCGTCAATGTCATTGCCTAATTCTCCCCCTCCCCCTCCCCCCCCCCCCCCCCCCCCCCCCCCAATTCCCCTTGTTTCTCCGCGAGAACGCAACTCTCCTCTTTTTTACTGCGACTGCCGCACTGTCAACGGCGACGTCTGTTTACTTCCCTATTTTGTTCTTTTTTCACTTCCTATGAGCGCGCGTTTGTGTGTGCGTGTGTGTGTGTGTTTATTTGTCTGTTTGCCTTTCCTTCTGACTACGTGCTTTCGTGCTTTACTCTACCACCGGTTTTTTGAGCGTCTTTTCTCTGACTCACAGTGGTAGACAGCCATTGACAATCAGCGAAACTACTCATTCAATCAGTCATTTAATTTTGGCTTCTATGTATAGAACTCAACCAAAACCAAAAAACCAAACCATCTTTGTCCCAAAATGTTAGGAGGAACATGAATGACTTGGGATATTGTGAGGCTTATAAGTTAAATAGGAATTTTTTGTAGACTTGTAAACTGACGTTTATGAACGAAAATGCATATTCTTGCACTTCTCTTGTCAATAAACGAGGTCTATTTGCCTGAGTATGGATACATCCTTTTGAAACATTAAAAGTTAATGAAACATTATTATTTCTGTAATTGAATTGTCATTGATATGACTTCACACTGTCCTATAGCCTCCACCTAACATCAATCTCATTATGACTAACGCACCATTGAGTTTTCTGACACAAGTTTCCAGAGAATTTAAGTAGCCTCAGCATATATTTGTCGCTTGAATAAATTTTTAAGTCTCTCTTTTAGATGTCGAGTTTTAAAACACTTTTTTAACCTCATATAAAGAAAAAATGGTTTGAAATTGTCGTGGCGGCAAAGAATTGCCTTTTTTCTCCTCGACTTAGTTCCCCATTAACTTATCAATTTTCACCATTTATGGTACTGGAATTGAAGCGAACGGTTTCTTGCCTTTGTATTCGGTTCGCAGTGAAGAAGGTGAATGAAGTTATCCCTACCTAATTGCATTAACTTCAGTTGGGTGCTTTAGTCACCGGTTTATATAAAAGATATTCCCCTGGTTCGCTGTCAGTCTTAATAGCGGATACTAATCAATACCCTTTTTATTCCTCTCCATTCTTAAAATCTTGTGTTTCTTTTCGTTTTAGTCATGCTGTTGACGTCCACAATATAACGTCAGCAAATGTGGCTCAATTAGAATTACGAATTCAATACCTAGAAATGACCTTCAACCAGGTACGCTTAGATTCGTAAAGTGAGTAGTAAACGTTGATGTTGTTTTAGTACCTTAATGAATCCCAACGTGTACAAAAAATGCTGGAACATCTCCTCAAACTTTCTAAACTTCTTGATCATCAAGAAAAGAACGCTCCAGATCCACAGGCTGCGTCGAATATCCCCAATCCTCCTTCCGGCACTCCTTTAATCTCATTTCAGACTTCCCAACCGACCAAATGTACTTTACACTATCCAGCATTTTAATAAATCGTTGCTGAATTTTAATCAGTAGGCATTTCTTTTTATAGTAAAACCGATAGAAGAAGAGGAAGGAAAACAGTGGGCCAGAGCTCTGGGTCTTTTGCAGAACGCAGCTGAAAATGGATCCGCGGCTCTGCCACAAAGTAGCAGAGACCAGTTTCTTCTTTTCAGCAACCTTCTCTGTAGATTGAACGGTTCTAATGAAAGTGATTCATTTCCTGATACCAACGGTGTTCAATCGAAGACATCACCGCAGACAATTGTCGGCTTTAAAAACAGTAACTTTTCCTTGGATTTAAATAATCTCCCCTGGAATGTACCTATTTAATTTAATCCTTCTCCAAAATTGAATGATAGGATTAGCATAACCTAATTAAAGGTGGTTATTAATTTTATTCCATTGCACTCAATAGGAATTTTGAAATGAGATCGACAAAATGTGTTTGAATGCTGTAGTTGCAAATAAACTCATCCTCATTCCTTCTAATTTTATTTTGACACCAGACTGTATCTAATGGAGGGGTAGACGATATTTTAACTATTTAAGGTGTGATCTACTATTCCGATTTGAAACATATTTAAGCATTAGAAATTACTTTGGAAAGCACGTATCAGAAAAGGAAATGTATCTCTAATGACCCATTATTTCTCTAGAAGTCTTTAAATTGTTTTCCCATTCGCGGAAGAGCTTATCAGTTAGCTAAATTGAGTCGTGTTTGATAGTCACAATCGTGCAAGTACTTTAAACATTTAGTTATATTGATTCAAATAAATGACGTTTCTCATTCACTTCTCTGTTGAAAAGCAAATTGCATTTAATGTTCTGCAATGTGGGGATAAGGAAGATTTTTTTGTGAATAAATTTATTAAAATTAAAAAATTTGAGTTGACTTTACGCAAACAACTCATATGTAGAAAGGGTTGCATACGTTTTAGCTTGAGAAATCCTTTCATTCTCAATGGAAGAAAAATTTAGAATATTTTTACAAGCTCTAACCTAGCATAAATCCTAATTAATTAATTCGCGAATTATACCTTGAAATTCATATCTTGAACTCATAATATTTCACCTGTCATAAATGTTTTTAGATGCATTCAATAATTCTGCCGCTAGCCTAATGAAATTAAACTCCCTGGCGCCAGATATTCAATCATCTCCTTCTGTGATGCAAGATGACCCGAAATCCATCTCCACTGGAACACCTTCCCCACCGCAGAATCCATCCACCGTCCACTCGTCGTCAAAAAGGGAGCCCCAAAATCTCTCGGACGAGTGTTCTATAACACAGCGTCAATTTTACCGCACACAGTTCATTCGCCCCCGTTTTACATATGCATCCCTTATTCGTCAAGCTATTTGTGAATCACCTAATCAATGCCTGTCATTAAGTGAGATCTACGCGTGGCTTCAGAGGGAATTTCTATTCTTCAGGCAAAATGAAGCCACCTGGAAGGTAAGTGTGCAAACATACTCTCTCATGCAGTTTCTTTAAACGCAATTGCTTACATTGTATTACTTTTCAGAATGCTATTCGTCACAACTTGTCGTTACACAAATGCTTCCGACGTGTAGAAACCCCAGGAGGTTCGGTTTGGGTGTTTGATGAAAGCGAATGGTTGCAGAGGAAAGACAATAGACAGGCTGTGTATGTATCATTTTCGTGTGATAAGTTTATTAATACCTTGGAATTTTAATTTTACGCTTTCTCTTTAGTGAAAGCCGTGTGGTGGGTAGGAATTACGGGGGTCGTTTAAAAGCGGCACCGGTTCCCATCTGTCCATTACCATCAGCATTGGCTACAAATGTCGATTCAATCAGAAATCGAAGTCTCTCGGCGTTGGAAAACGAGCATTTCCGCACTCTTCTCCAGCAGGTTACCAACTTACCCGTACCATCCACAGCTAATCCAAATTCTGCCGAGTTTGCCGAAACTACTCGTTCAACGGCTTCGACACCGGCTATTCCTATGCCCCTAATAAATACACCAAACGTGTCCAATAACACGAATGCACATTCCAGCAATCCCATTTCTACGTCTCCGGTTGTGAATGCCATGTGCGATGATGAACATGTCCTCCAACACGAGTATGTGAAAAATCTGCACTTATAGTATTTCAGCCAATGCAGTATTTTAAATTGCCATCATTATCTTTTAGCATAAAAATGGACACAGGTGAAATTTTCCGAAGGGAGGATGCTACATCCGTTTCATCTACATAATTGTCTATTTCAAATATTTCATGATGAATCATTCAACCAAAGCGTCGATGTTCTTGGATTTCAAACGAACTTTTAATAGTATGAATGAGCAAACTTTCCTGTGTCAGACTCCTTGTGTTCCCCTGTTGTGTTATGCTGAATTGACTTTTAGTGTATCTGTAAAAGACGCCACTTGTATTTTCTCAATAAACCTTTTGTATTTAAGCTGTCAAATTTCAATTTCTTAATTTGGGAATATGGATTGATTTCAAACGTTTCTAGAAGCATAGACGGGAAATATTTACTAATTTATTAGCCACTAACTGATTTGAAACAGAAGCAATGATAAGCGTGGTCTGAAAGATCTAATGGTGTGAGCTCGGTTGCCTCTTGGCAGAAAATTCTCTCTGAGTCTCTATCATCGTCAATTTGTCAGCAGATAATCTTGTGCGATTGTGTGTTGCGTACGTACAATTGATAACTGACAACTTAGATGAGAGGTGACTGTTTATTCAAATAACGCATACTATTGACGATGTAGAATTTGTATGACGAGTAAGAGTTAAGATTTCGCATTTGAAATGAAAGTGAAAAGGACTCCGACTCTCGTATTTCCAATTTCGTGTACAGGATCCCTCTGACTCTAATTGGAGTAAAGAACAAATTGAATTTTACTATTGGTAAAATAATTTTGGAGAACTACTTATTACCGAAGATAACACTTCACTCAATCTAGGTGTTTTCATGATTCAAGAGAAATTTTTTCATTTGACCAAAAGTCTTTTTCATTTCAATAAGCGTTAGGCTTAGAGATAGAAATTTAGCGGATTGCTACTTTATTAAAGCCTGACTGACTCAGAAATCTCTATGGCAGATCCTCCTACTTTTAGCTAGACTCCCAGAACCAGCTAAGCTATAGCCCAGCTATGAAAGGAAACCGATGCGTAGCACGGAGCACGTTTATTCAGTACGAGTATTGCGGATAAATTGTTCACGCGGGGAGCTACTCATGATCAGAATGGGGGATTAGGTTATACAGAGGTTGATGATTGGCCACTGTTTGTACGGTCGTGCACACAGAGTTGCACGGCCGCACCTCATAATCCTGGCGAGCAGACACGCAGACATACGATGA